GSYWAGCAGARTGGCTGCCACAATCCCCTTTGCAGGTCAATCAACACTGTTGTCATGGTTTCTGGTTTGATTCCTGGTCATGACCATTTGCAATTCTCCGTTTTCACTATATGTCACAGCAGCCATCTTGGAGGAATTTCAACAAAGGATTTCTCATTAGTATCTATTGTTCATTCCTCCAAAATGGCTGCCGATCTTTTATCTTTTGAATCTCATGGGTCAATGGTTGAAAACGATCAATTTGAGTTTTCACGTCTCCTGATGCTGCTTTTTCTTCAAGCTCTCTGGGAGATTGTGCACTAAAACAATCAGAGAAAAAATTACAGGTCTCTCGGAGTGTCTTCATCTCYTGTTTCACACTAACTTTGTAAGCTGCTACTTTCGGAACTATAAATTTTCATCAGTTCGGTGTCCCTGTGTAATATGGTATTTCAACACGGATTCCCTGTGTAATCAAAGATGGCGGCTACCAGAGGTATTCTAAGTGGTCGATTAGCTTTAGTTACTGGTAAGGAAGGCATAAAAATAAACCCTTTAACTGATATACTTAAATTTCAARATGGATGAACTTCTAAAGTGTAGCAATCTGGCATTTTAATAACTATGCGTCAGTAAAAACTATCTTTATCGTACATCAACGTACATCCCAGGACCATCATTTGTTTAGGTTCTTGTTCTTGTATTCCTTGGGTTGACGCTGAATCCTAATATTCATATTATACCAGGAGGAGCTAGTGGAATTGGTAGAGCTGTGTGTGAAAGCTTTGCCAAGCAGGGCGCAATAGTAGCAGTTGTCGACAAGGACATCAATGGYGCCAAAGAAACTGCAGAAAGTCTCCAAAATAACAACCAAAGTCATGCTTTCTACTCTGTGGATGTATCGTCKTCTGATGAAGTAGGCAATCTAATAAAAGATGTCAGAGCAGAGCATGAAAGAGCTCCTTGCATTCTTGTGAATTCTGCTGGTATCATTAAAGACGCTCTGTTTTTAAAAATGAAGGAAGATCAGTTTGATGATGTAATTAAAGTAAATCTAAAGGTAAGCTGGAAAAGATGGATGACTGACAGAAGTGATCATTTGTCCAGGCAGACAGTCTATGTTAGCCATTCAATCCGTCAATCCAACATTTCATTCTCATTCATTTACTCTGTTAATATACAATATTCATGATACTGGTAATTTTCTTCCAGGGCACATTTCTCATGTCTCAACATGTATCCAAAGCCATGGTAGAAGACAAAATAGTCAATGGCTCTATTGTCAACATATCAAGTATGTCTGGAAAAGTGAGCTATTTTTCCAGCCTCTTCAAAGACCGCCATAATCATCTATAGACTTGATCCATTTCCCATTGTGTCACACAGAGTGCAGAATATGCTGTGGGACATTCTCGGACCCAGATCCTTCTCAGTTTCGCAGGTGAAAATCAAAGACTCTGGTTGGTGACAAATGAGGCTTTGATTAATTGATTGGCTCAAAAATCCCCATGCCTCATCAGTATGCATATATCGTACAACCTTGATTCTAGGTCTCCTTGTATCATCTCCAGCCAGAGCTTTTGATTTTCTGTTGGGAAACTGAGAAAGATCTGGGTATGAGAATGGCTTTGGGATATGTAGGAGGGATGTAAATTTCTACACCAGATGTAATTTAGATAATTTTGGGTTGGAGTGTGCATCCCCTGAAATTTCTGTTACCAATGCATATATTAATATTATTGTCTGTTTTAAGATAGGTAATGTTGGACAAGCYAATTATGCAGCATCCAAGACAGGTGTACAAGGGTTAACAAGAACTTGTGCTCGTGAACTGGCAAGGTTATTGATTAATATTTCTATTGTTCTTATTTTAGTTTTTGCTAAATGGAGTAGAAAAATCAACAATCAGACTAGGATTACTCTCTCTGACTTTTTCCTCTCYTCACAAAATATTATGTGAGTGACTCTTTTTAAAAGTCCTTTTTATTCCTTCCCGCAAATCTTCCCAATCTTCCTGCTCAATTATATTTCATGCRCTTGGTGCAGATGTAGCCTGCGTTACATCCGGTTTTATTTGCCAAAAAAAACTGTCAGTTATTTTGGTGAAATAAACCAGCTGTAACGCAGGCTATGCAGATGAGATAAGCCAATTATAGTCCAATGTGTTGCTGCTATGCTGTAGGTTTGGTATTAGGTGTAATGCTGTTCTTCCAGGATTTATTGATACACCCATGACAAAGCAGGTACCAGAGGAATTAATGAATCAGGTACGTAACTTTTTTATATATCTTTTTTCTTACTCTTTAATCAAAAAAACCTTACTGACATTTTGGATGCTGGTCCTTTGTCAACCTTTATCTTTTCACTCCCAAGAAAGGACCAAAAGTAAAACTTTGCAGTTTTCACCATTTTACAGTGAATAGAATACCCTTTAATTAATTGCATTTTTTTCAGTAGAAACAATGAAATAGAGACTAGTTAGACAAACATTTTTAGTAACAGATTTGAAACTTAAAGGACTGAAACTATCATATTGTGTCTCTTTAAAGGTTGTTGGAATGATTCCTTTAAACAGAATGGGACAGCCATCAGGTTTGTGCAATATAGGGGTGTCATATAACAGCCAGTGTGGGATGGCAGGGGTTAAATAAGCCTGAGTTGCATCCACTGGTGTCATGTCTGTAAGCAGAAATCAAAATCCTTTTTCCTTCTATCTCCTACCTCTCTATGTCAATGTTGTTTCACTATTGATCGTTTTCAACCATTCCCATGAGATTCAAAAGATAAAAGACCGGCGGCCATGTTGGAGKAATGAACAATAGATACTAATGAGAAATCCTTTGCTAAAGTTCCTCCAAGATGGCCGCTGTGACGTAAACTGAAAACGAAGAATACTGATGAAAAGGTAACGGAACATCTAAAGACCTGTTTTACACTTGCGATTTTTGCAGCGCGAACGTTGCGGCGGCCATCGCCAAGTTTCAAACAAGCTTTTTCAAATTTAGCTGCAACTTCGCGCGATTTTCGATCGTTAAAGCAATCGCTAGGCTGTTTACACGTACGATTTKAGTTAAGCRATAGCAAAGTGTGGATTGTCGCGCAACAATCGTGCTGCAAAAATCGCAATTGTAAACGCGCTATTTGGGTCAGGTGTGGGTGTCAAAATTGCTTACTAAAAGGACAAATTACACTAAGAAATCTATAGTTTTGTTTGTGCAGGCATTTTTTAAAGGCTAAATAAATACACACTCTACAYTTGAATATAAATCGAACTCAAAATAAAATCTGTTCACTGAACTTTCAGAAATTGCAGATGCTGTCACTTTCCTAGCATCAGACCTTAGCAGTTATATAACTGGAATTTCACTTGACGTCAATGGTGAGATACTGTTTTATTGTATTTGTCAATGCAAAATCGTGCATTTTGAAAATGAAATAAGATGGAAACAGCTCAAACACAGTAGATGCAAGTAGATAATTAGACATATGGGCACATATTAAACCTTTTTAGATAATAGTCGACTACAGAGGAATAATGACACTCTGAGGACAAACCAGTGAAAACGGTGTACCATGTCAGTCGAGAGTTAGTATTGTCAAAACGGAATTTGTATTTTAGTCTTTGATCGTTATCCAAGAGCCACAAAAACTGAACCTAAAGACTAAAAACATTGGTCTCAGAAGACTATTTAAACATTAGTATATATACAAAAGAAGAGAAAACTTTGACACTGTTCCCATGTGCGTCGTTACTTCCCTGCCATTTAGAGAGGCATGACATTTCGTGTAACACTGCAGTTTGAGTACAGCCATTTATCTTTCTCATAAAATACGTATTGGGGAATTTAATGAAGATTCAATATTATATGACATTTTTGCACGTAGGACGGAGAGTTATTTTCAACTTTTGTTTTTGTTTGTAGGCGGTCTAGCGATGTAACCATGGTAACTTCTAGGCATAGACCGACAATGTTCTGCGAAGTCAMATAAGGCCTGTGACATTTGCCGAATCTTATACGGAATGAGATGAAATAATAGTGAGCACAACAAAGTGTCAAAGAATAAATTATGCAGCTGTGAAATACGACTCAACTACCCTTGAATTTACAAACTTTCGATGGGTATAGTGGATTTAGCATAGCATAGTTAATAACTATTAACTATGAGCATAGTTAATAACTATTGATTTAGTGATAGGACGTGACTTTACGTGGTAAACGTGGTAGTTTCATTAACCAAAGAACACTTCTTGTTGTTTATAGSTAAATTTTCTCGTAACTTTACATCAATTGCGGTTTCCGCATGTATTTTTATTGCATCATGGCCGAAATTCAATGGACGATGTTGACACAACAATGATCATTATAATTTCTTTTGTTCAATCACCCACCCAACATGGCGGCTTTAGCAGTGGTTATTATTTCTCAAGGGATTATGGTTGACTCCTCACATAAGTTCATTTTTTGTTTGATATAAAAGCAAATATTTTCTGATATGGATTTTAGTGAATTTTTAGTTGTTGTTGTTGTTGTTGTTGTTGTTGTTTTTCAATATAGATTTATTTTGAAAAGTTTCTCTAACTTTTAGAAAACTAACCTGTCCAAAAGCTGTCCGTTTATTAATTATTGAAAGTTTCTGAATAAGTATATATTCTTGTTTGTGGCTCAATATGACTTTATTTCCTGTGATTTGTTTTAATATCCCTAATTAAGAGCTAATGAAATTACATTTTCGCAAACAATCCCTTGTTAAGTTTACTGCCTTTCTTTGTTTCATATCCGTTTKAATGATCCTACTTAATTCAATTGCAACTTTGCATCAATTAGCACATCTCACCTATTGTGTGATTKCTGAATAGCTGATTTATTGCGCCTTTGAATATAAAGCGCTCATAAACCGYAACAAAAKCCATTATCATTTGACAAGTGTATATATACACACCAATCCAAAGCAATCACACACAGCTCTCACGTTTATACCGAGAAGATACGATCATGAGACTTAGACGAAGAAGTACATCAAAACAGGGATTGGTATCAAGTCAAGGTAAGAAATAATCAAATTTCAACTAAAAGTTCTAGTGAAGACGAAAATGGACAGATACAAAGTTGTATGATTTGMAAGTATGCGCTGTAGTGTACGKTGRAAATACAGATCGTGCGCGCGGTGTAATAAATTGTAGATCTCCGTTTTGGTAAAACTCAGTTTTCTTKCTTCTTTTTCAGACCTCGATGTTACCAGACATTTWACCAAGAGATTAAAAACCAAAGTGACTCGAACTAAAAATARCTRCAACCGTAACTTYACTGCGAACCAAWTACAAATTCTGCAAGCGTACTTTTGTAARAACGACAGTCTTAGTCGTTTGGATGAGCCGGTTCTCTCGAAGGAAACAGGACTAAATATACCACAAATCAAGGTTAGTTTCCCTTTGTTAAAGCTCTTGTTTTCACTGACCCTTCAACATCCTATGGCTCTGATGAAATCTTATGGTCCTTATGGGAAAAGGTTCTTTTTTTCTCGGGTGCACTGGAAAAAACTGCGCGCTTTAAAGGTTGTAAATTTGATGTAAATATGATCATTTACATCAAATTTACAGGATTTTGGACACTCACATCACATTTACATCAAATTTACAACCTTTAAAGCGCGCGATTTTTCCAGTGGTGTTCGCTTATGGTATGGTCCTTCACCGTAAAAGATTGCTGGTGAGCATAAAGAGAAGTACGAAAGACAAAAGTCCAATAAGTTTTTGATCTTTTAAGGTGTATACTTTATCACTGTGTTGCAACTATTTAATTTGATATAAACATATACTCAGGTCACTAGTTTAGGGTTTTTTTTTTCTTTGCGCGTCAGTCGACGTGCTCGTGTTCTTGTGATGCTGCAGGTTTGCCGACTCTATTGTTGATGCGGCAAGCATGACTTCTTTTAAGTGTAGTCTTTCAAATCTTAATTTGTTTCTTATAGAGATGGTTCAGTCGTCGCCGAGCAAGAGCGCGAAAAACGACAYATAATAAACACACCGAGAAGTGCTTCCATCCTGCTTCAGATCTKTTGCCTTCACGGCTGATTGCCATTCCTGTTTCCACAACAGCGGCATCTTCAAGTCTCCCGCCAAATCAAGCTAGCGAGCCTACCACTACTAAAGTATTAATCAGCCCAGCAGTTCCAAGTACATCAGCAAATCAAGCTTTGGAGTCCTCCATTACAAGAAAGTCTAGAGTGCCCGCGAACGCAACGCCTTGTAATTTGCCGCCARGTCGAGCAGTGGAATCTAAAGCGTGTATCAACTCAGCGATTATAAGTACCAATAGTGGCCAATGGCATATACCTCAGTCATCCTACGATTGCTGTCAAAACACCTTACAACTTTGTGACAAACTCTTACAGAATATGTTCGGATATGATTGGATTGTAAAACTCAGACTTCATCGACATGTATAAAAAACACATTGAAAGTTTATAGAATATTTTTCTARCCTATGAAAAGTCTCGATATGAACTTTGTTGATGCAGAATCTACATGACTAAAGACGAAGACACTGCGCAGTGAASTGWWWTTTTTTCTGCGTCATGGTTWTTTTGTGACCATCAAAGTTAATAAAACTGATGGACTCGTTTCTTATGATTTAAATWCTTGCTSTCCATATATTATGCGCTCTTCAGTTTAATTCGAAATATTKCGTAGCGAGCGGCGCAGGGAATGATGCAAAGAAATCTGCAAAGAAGAATTTTGATTTGCGCGTGCCGCGCGTCGATGATTTGCATAATGATTTTCCCGCCTTTTTTACATTATTGTTGTCATTTTTTTTATCCACGTAAAATTTTGTTTTTTAATTTTTTTCTGAAACTATAGCTAGCTACAAACATTTGGCATTACTTGTGATTAATTAAGAATCCAAGGGACTTGTACATACAATTTTGCTTTTTTTGTTTACAGAAATATTCGACAGTCATCGACTAGTAATAGCTAGTATAAATACAAGCAATTTATCGTTAAGTTGAGAAACTATTTGACTTTTCTGTTTGGAAAACAAACTTCGTATTCTGCAAACTTTTTTTATATTATTATTTAATGACAACATCGCAGCATTCTGTTTTTTGGATGGCCATAAATGCAAGCACTCTGACCCCTGGGACAAATCCTGTAGTTCCATACTCCAGAATCGCCATTTGGGCAGGTACAGTCTCTTTTCCAAAGCAGACTTGACAAMTTATCATCTAGATAKCAAAATTTAAAATYTCAGTCAAGTTTAACAGATTCTCGGCATAACATTCAGAACGTTTATATAAGTCTTCAGCTTCAAAGTTACTGTAGACAGAGTCCAAAAAGGGCGGGTCGGTATTAAATGAGTTTAAATGCAAAACAGACAATGACATGRCCTCTCGAAGAAACAGCTTACCGCCCTTTATCTGGTGTTGAAAATTGTTCTATCTTTGAGATAAGAGGCTAGTTCGCAAACTGATAACAATTGATTTTCGGGTTTTTTTAACAACAAACCAATTTTAAAAACATTTAGAAAGTTTTGCCTTTACGAACTGACTGACTGGCTACTCGTTATCCATTAAAATATTTAATATTTCTGCTTGAGCRCTATGACTAATCTGTCTGAACAATTGTCTTGTATATTTCCCGCCTTTTTTCGAAGATTATTAACTCTATTGTGCCAAGAGCAAGATTTCCGCCATTTTAAAATAAATCAGCAAAAATGAGCTATCCACCTCTTAGAAAATTCAAACAAGAAAAGTATCTACATTCCGATATAGTCCTTATTTACTAGCTGAAACTTATCAAAGACATTTACCATCAATTGATTGCTGGTCATTCAGTGAAGTAAGACGATGCCTTCGACGACGACCACAAGAACCAAACGCCACCAGGGAGGCGATGATCAAGACCAACACAAGCTGACGGTTCATTTTTTATTCCTTTTTAAAAGATAKTTTCCAATTAGCACGCCGTTTTCAATTTTTTTCCCGCCAAAAATATTAAATTGACTTTCCTTGTAAGTTATTGCCCTGAATAGTTTAAAATAATAGAGTGTAAAAAGCGTTGTGCGGCTACTTTCTAATGTTAGTAGCACAACGATGTATTTTATAGATAAGGGATTTTCAAGTAGGTAGTTTTGCAGTGGCGAGAGTGTCGGTACCTCAGTAACATTGAGGCTAGTTTTTATTTTTTACACGTAAAAAAAATTAAAGAAAGAGGCCGGAAAGAGGTAGTCATTTAATTCTTGAAGTCATTGAAAAAAATCCCTTACTTACTTGATATTAAAATTCTTCAGTTCTGAATTGCGAGCCGGTTTGGGTGAACTCAAGATCTGCTCTGGAGAACATGTCAGTACCAGTACCAGAACAGTGTTTATATACGTTTTCAAGTTCAATGAAGCATTCAAACGYGTCAAATTGTATAATAATTCCACTGCGGTGTATCAAGGGAGAGGGGAGCTTAGTGTAGTACGTTCATCAGATAAAAACTCAACGTCCGTATCTGCCGATCCATCCTTTTATAAGCTTTAAATATGAAAAGGYTAAATAAAGAACAATATCAATTAGAAATAAAGCTACCTATTCATTACACTGGACTAGCTACTGTGGTCCCATTTTTATCCTATGTGCACCCTCCTGGAAAAGTGCTGGTTTTAATCCCTCGTTGGTTGYCGAGCTTAACTAGCCTTTAAGAAAAATTACTGAACCGCCAATATGTATTCGACATAATCGGGGAAAAAGCGCCAAATTARATTAGAATTTAATGTTTTTTTAGACTTTAAAAACACTTTCAGTTTCAACTGCATTTTTTTGATTACCAACATTAGTCACATTAGGGAAACTCGCATTCTGCTGCTCAATGAAGTGACAAATCTCTCTTTAATAGCAACTTGAGYGTTTCATTTTCCTCCTTTCGAATAGAGTTCTGGGCTTTTACTGCATCGTAGCAGCCCGCCAAAATAATTGGAACGGTTGATAATAACTGAAATGAATCTTGTTTGAATGATTGTCGGATATACTCGCTGCACTCATGCAGTCCGTGAGAGATCTTTACAAGACTCGAACATTAAATCCGCATCCCCGCTCGCCATACGGACTAAAATACATGCATGCCCATCTATGGTAGACGTTGTGAACCTCCAATACATGTTCAGCATAATCATAGAAAAAATCGCGCCAAAATAGTAGAATCCAGACGAGAATTTCTAAACCAGTTTTACATACAGAAAAAGCAATTCGTGAATATGGGCATTTTAGTAGACATCCTTTTGCTACCTTCTCTTGAACTTAGTAAATGCAAGCTGTAAATAATATTTTTTGTTTAATCTAGTTTACACTCGCGATTTTTGAAGCGCGATTGTCGCAACTACATTTCACGAYTGTGGAGCGCGTCCAAGGGAAAAGTRAATTTTTTCTCTGSTTGAAAGTTGTTCAAAWCGCGCATCTTAAAGCAWTTCTGAGTAAAATCGCTATCATAACGTTCCTATAATGTCGTRTTTATTTTTCATATTAATAGAGGCTGTTATCATTTTCTACCGTCCCATCCCTCATGAAACACAATAATGGGATCCCTGTGTTTTTTCGCATTGTAACCAAGCCGTCTTTTCAGCCGAGCAGGACTAAGCCCAAGTACGATTGAGACCGCGCGGTGCAACACCGAACAGGGTCAAAAAATGGCTGAAAAAATGCTTTTCTAGTGGAATTAGGAATGGCCGAGGCTGTGCGCTCGACCGATCAAAGTTGTGTTGGTTTTCAGTTGCAACTTGATAGAAGTAACAGCAAATCCCACGACATGGATCGCTCGTCAAACTCCTCAAGTAAGTTTGTCGAAATTTGCTGGTCGCCATGTCACATGCCATGCAAGTTCAACTTCAATCTAAACATTCTTCTTTATTTCGTTTTATTTAGTGGAAGCCAAAGAACCYGAAGCGTCTTTTTCACATTTTTCTGGCTTAGAAGCGTTAAATCCACAGAAGAGAGAACTTCTAGAGGCGAGATTTTCAGCTCCAAGGGTACACAAATCGTCGTTTCTTCTTAATGAATGATTTTATCTTGATTTTCGAATTCGAAACGCAAGAAAACTGTTCATGAATAATGCATGAAGCTAATTTAAATAATAATTGTCAAAATAACAGTGGKTTGCGAAGAGGTGATTTGCAAATTTTATTGTATATACTTTGACAAGCTTACTTTATTTCTTGGCCTTGAAGGGCATATCTTGCACTATCTAATTAAAATCTAAACTTAAAGTATAAGCTTAAGTATAAGTTATAAAGCTTAAATATTCTATTATCAAGTTTCTAAAAATTCACRTTTGTAGATGTGAATGAAAGCCAGACAAGCAAATGCATATTAACAACAATTCAATTGATGTAATTTGATTATTCGGGAGGAATTGATTGCTTTGAATTGTGACTTTTTAACATTAATACAATAATAATACATTGCATCTTATCAAAGTTTTTCAAAAAGTTGAAAATAGTCAGATTGTTTTTCTTGAATTGAAAATGATTGTATCATTCAAAGTCTTGGTGTAGTGTGTCGAAAGAGGTGATTTTAAAAACGAAAACAGTTTAACATATAGCATGAAATTTACAAACTCTTTAGTGATCAGATTTAAAAAGATTTCTAGATCACTGGTGAATGTTTTCATAATTTACCAATCTTTTAAAATTAATGGTAGGCACTTATGAAAGGGGTCAATGAACAGACTTACCTGGGCCAAGATTAATCCAGAGATGTGATTTGATTTTTTTTTATGCAGAATGATTTGATCAATATAATTGCAAGAGTACTGTATTTACCCATGTATAAGCCGCTCTCGTAGATAAGCTGCATCCCGAGTTTTAGGAACGTTTTTGAGGGAAAAAATGATGGAAAATAAACTTTTCTCTTTTTGATCGCCACTTGCGAACACAGCTTTCTTTGATTTCCGTGATCCATGCATTTCGTATGCAATTACAATCTGTTTTTTTAACGTGCGGTGTATGATGAATTTGATCTTGGAGACATAATTGTTAAGATTGATAATTGATACTTTAAAGAGTTGTTTTTCATTCAAAAGGTAAAAGCAAACTAGTAATTAACTTGAGTGATATAAATCTCATTGTGCCGCCAAACTTCTAAACATAAGGATCATGCCGAAACCGTTTCGTATTTCAAAAAAATATTAAAGCAGATTGTATTTGTTTAATATAAGGAACAATTTCTTAGGCTTATTTCTTGGGTATTCAAAATATTTACCCTGGATTCTTCACTTTAAGTGTGACAAAGTTGCTTAAATGAACAATGCAAATTAGCATCATGTTACCAAAACAACTCCAAGACAAAACGATTAAATGTGATTAAATGTGATTTAGCTCAATAACCACACACTTTTCAGTTTGATTTATTGACTTGTGTTTCTCAGAGCTAGATTTTTGGAGAATTTATAGTAATACTGAGAAGTAGGATTAAAATTTCTGTTCCTGCCGTGTAAAACAAACTTATCACATTACTGATGTCCTGTCTGCAGTAAGTAGCACCGTCAATGCTAATTTATGCAAATTAGTTTTTATTGGGCATTTTGACAAGTCTTCTCGTAGATAAGCCGCACCCCCGATTTGGGAACGATTTTTTTAGAAAAAAAGTGTGGCTTATACATGGGTAAATATGGTATTAGATAGAAAAAGAGAAAGATGCAAGATGCATTTAGAGTGTACAATTTTAATTAATTGATGTGTTGTTTCAATAGCCTTTCAATCAAGACTCTCAAAGCAATGCATCATCAGTTGGCAGTGAAAAGGATATTGATCCAGTAAGTATTAATAATAATAATAATAATAATAATTATTATTATTATTATTAAGTATTATTCTGTGTGTAATACTTTATTATTATCGTGCCCAGGCCTATTCGGCCAGCACGGTCTTAAAATGCAAGCACTTTTTTAATCAACGTTAGGTTTTTAATGAGCGCTTGGCAATTTCCTCATGACTTTACACTGACTGGGACAACTTTGCTCCCACTGATAAAACTACATGATATGATGGCGGTCGTTCAAGGAAATACGACTACTGAACATTTTTGCTATTTGGGGCAAGGTTATAGAATGCATGCACAATATTTTTCCACATTAGGTTTTACACGAGAGCTCGTCATTTTTCCAACGAGTTTAAATCGACATGGGATCTCAACTTTGCTCATACACTGATAAAACTGCAAGGGAATGAGACGACTACTGAACATTTTGGCTATTTGAAGAATGAAAAAAAAAAACTTTACAAGAGTTTGGATTCTGAGCGACAACTTTATATCGAGTTGATATTTTGAGAGACTTAGTTTTGAGCGGAAACTTGCGAGTGAATCTAGATCAAGAATCAAGATCGAACCTTCTGTCGAGAATCAAGAGCCAGAGGGAATACTTTTAAGTGAATCTTCTATTGAAAATCAAGAGCGAATACTTTTTTGGATATTTTTCATGCACATCATGCGCCGATGACCCCGGAAATTACAAAGAATTAAAATGAGTTTACACACTCCCTCGGTCAACTAAGTCCTCTTTAAACTTGTGAAAGTTGGCTTGACATTTGCATGCAGATAACATCTTCCAGGAATTCCTCCAAAATTGAGAAAGAAAGTTGGACACTGGTTTTCAAACATCTCTTTGGCAAAATTTTCTTCTTCTTTGAGCATTTTTCTTCAACAATGTTGTAAAATGACTATAAAATGGTTAAAATTCACATGTTGTTTTACGCTAAGATTTATGTGTTTATAATGTTTAAAAAAGCTATAATGATATTTTCTATAGGATTTTAAGCTTTTAAACTGATATGATCATTATTATAGGCAACACCAGGAAGTAGGTCTGACAAGTATGGAGGACGAAAGAGAAAGGCGCCTGTAGAAGGTGACTCGCCAGGTAAATGTATCTCTTCTCTCTTTTCTGGGTTCCATTTGTCATTACTTCTCTGGTATTCTTCAGAATAGTAACCAACCCAAACCCTCTTATCAGACACAAAAATTAAACTCAAGAAACCAGCTGAACTGTGTTAATCTTATGAATTTGATTTGTCAAAGGATGATAATCTGTTTACCAAGTTGTAAATTAAACTTCCAAGTTACTGCAAGTGCTATTGTACTGTGTGCCTAAATTTTTCAGGAAATAGAAAAATGTGTAGTTGTAAACTCTGAAATTAGCTTTTTATGATGCAGTAGGTGCTTTTTACAATAATTATTTATTAACCTTTTTTGTTCAGGTGTGTCCAAAAGTGGGCGTCCAGATCCACAGAATGTAAAAATAACAGAGTTTTTCAAGGTATGCAAAATAAAAAGTAATAATRATACACTGTAGCTTTTAGACTAGTGCTCTAACCATTGAAATTATCATTCATTTACTTTTTTCTCTTTTCCAGCAAAGTGACATGCCTCATCCAAGAACCAGAAGTCCCCAAAATCTTCTGCCATCTTTCAATTCATTGGTAATGCTGTGAATGAATTTTCCATCAAATAAGTTATGATAGATAAGCRAAAGCAAGCAYATTTTTTTAGTAGATAGCTGGTCATAATAATACCTCAYTCTATTGTTAATATTGTTAAAATGTTGCTTTACTGTCTACCATGTTTTTGTACAATTCCATACCAATATATCAGTAACATTTAGTTAACTGTCTAAAACTYCTTTAAGATACATGTTGCTCAAAACACGAAGTTTTCAATGCTCAATAAGGCAATCATGCTAAAGAATCTGAATTTTACTTTTTGAGCTTTTAAAGTGAGATATCACAATTGAAAATACAATAAAATATGATTGGTCAAACACCAACCATGAATGATATCTAATGATATCTAATGATTCTTTTCCTATGATATCATCTTTTCTCTAGTGTAAGATTGAAAGTAACATGTCTGGAAGTCAAATGTCAGTTGGACAGCTAAACAACCAGAATAGTGCTATGCACACATTCAAAGAGGATGATATTGAGTGCATTAGTGTCCATGAAGCTTGCCAGACAACTTTGACATCATCAACAATCAAGGTGAGTCTTTTTTATATAACTTCAAGCAAAGGAAACTATAAAGACAAAGTCAAAATATAAGGCTTTGGTTGTAATACTCCATTTCAAAGTGTTCTCAACACCATATCTAAATTAAGTAGAAATAGCTAAGMCTTTGCATTAAAGTGAAGATAAATTGTGCCTGTAATGATAGATACCACGGTACCTTTTCTTCTTATCTAAACAATTATTTACTAGTGTCTATCATTGCAAGCTCAACTCCTGTCTCACTTTTGGTGCCMAAAACTATAAAAATATGGAGTATTTATTATAAAGTGACGTAACTTCCTTGAATCATGATTTCTGTACTTTATGTCTTAAACAKAATTTCTTTGTAGATGGTGTGTTTATTCCACATAATTCTCATAACTATTTTTTTAATACAGGAAATGGAAGAACAGTTATCGTCAGGAGTTCACTCTTCTCAAAAGAAGGACAGTACCATTGAAGAACTCAAAGCTGTAAGTTCATTGAGATCGAACATCAAGTATTTCCTTGGTCATTCATTCATTCTTTTATTCAACCATTCATTTTCTTGTCAATTATTGCTCTTTAAGCTTTGATAATTGGGCACATATTTCCCAATACTCCAGTTAACATAATGTGAAATAATTTCTCTAGGGTATTGAAGATTACAAACAACAATATGAAAAACAAAAGGTTAGCAAAATATTCAACAATATTTATTCAGCAAAATAACAATATAAAAATAAAATGACAAAATAAAAATAATATTATTGCAAGTCAACAAGMCTTCCAAAGTCTAAAGACAAAACTACCTTTAATTATAATCAGGTTTACTCTGAGCATTCAGACAATAATACATGTGCATAATAATTCTATCTAGCCGGTCACTTTCAGAGACTGAAAGCTTATATTACAAATTATATAAATGTTAAAGACAAAACCTTCATGTTTTCATGCTAAAATCAAATTGGCCCCAGTTTCATTGCAAATTTCAGAAATGCAAAATAATTTTAGAGAATGCAGAGGTACCTTAAAGATGGCATCATTGCATGGCTTGAATTGCTTGTAAGACTTGCCTCACGGTGTACTTGCAAGCCCAGACACCATGCTATATTAAGTGTTACCCCTGTTTTGTTTAACAGTGCTGGATTGTTCACATGTGCTGTAGTTACCTTCTAACAAAACATATATAACAGGGACAAAATAAAATGAATTTTTTTATGAATTTCAATATTCACCTATTCCAAAAAAGTTGTTGTGGGAGAATATGGAACAGCGATTGTCAAAGGGAGATTGAAKGGAGAAAAGGACTATCATTATACTTACTGTATTAACAATACAAAAGTTTACATATTGGATTCACCTTG